TGACACTGAAATATAAAATAAATTGAACATTTCTTCAATTTCAAGAATTTTGAATTATATTGAATTGTGCTGTTTCGAATTTGAAGACAAATCTAGTTAATTTCAAAAGTAGCACATTGTTGATAAGAAAACATATTCATAATTTCCATTATTTTAATAGAAATTATAAATATAACTCTCTTAAATCTTCAGTATGATATATTGTATCCTACATGTATATTTCTAATTTTATTCAAACGCTAACTCTTAATTATCTCAATTCAAACATAAACAGACTTAGGTCACTTTCAAAGTAAACCCTCACACCCTAAAAATGTTCAACGCTGTCACGAGAGAAATTAAACAGTTTAAGTGAAACAACTCGTCAATTGACATGAACGAATTGTAAATAGTGAAACGCGAAAGTGGTATTTGCCTTTCGTATTGTTCTCGTTCAATGATGATCAGGTGTGGCTGAACGGACGATGAAACATGCAAAGCTCACGAGGACCGCCATAACACCAGCGGAAATGGCTTGAAGCACGCGCGAATTCAAAGCGGCAGAAATCGAAAAAAGAGGAAATACTCTTTGTTTCGGTCTAGGAAGAAAGGAGGAACGGTAATCGTTCGAGCGAGCAACGAAGAGAAAATCGCTAGGGAGTTAACAATACCTGACCATGCAACTGGCAATCACGTTTTACGATGCGTTTCCTCTCGTTTACGGCGGCAATCGATGACCGGACGCTTCTTCCTAGGCGGAAGGTACAATAATTCTGAATATCGATGATTTTCGAGCCCTTTTTTTCTTTTATAATACTCGTTTTCAGATTCTATGTTTATATAATTTGGCTGTATGGTAAGATGAAAGATAGAATGATCATATTTTCCGTTTGTTTGCAAACCTTTTCTCTTTTATGAAGCACGTTTTTAGATTCCATATTTAAATAGTTCAATAATTTGAAAATTTGAATAATTTGTATAATTGAGATAATTCGAAAATTTTGATAATTTTAAAATTTGACTATTTGATTATTTGATAATTTTATTATTTGACTATTTAATAATTTAATAGTTTGAATAAGTTAGATAATTTAATAACTTGATTTTGGATAATTTCATTACATAATTGAAGCTGCGAATTTCAAAGTAGCATAAGTCCCTTTTTTGCTATTATGACTTACTGACAGAACTATTATATATGATTTATATAAATTATTATTATTAATAAATTATTAATTACTTATGTTTATAGAAATTCAAAAATAAATAGAAGAAATCCCTTAATTAAATATCTGCACCCATTTTATCTTGACTGTATGAATAAGTACCAACATTTATTTAACTAAAACAGCAAATAATTGATAGAAATAACTGTAATAAAAATAAAATGTAAATAGAATTTAATTCAAAGTTAAATAAGACGAATAAAAAGACATGTTTGAGCCAACTGCTTTCTTTATTAATAGTTCAGATGAACACCTGAGAATAATTGAGTAAATAAATTCCTATTTCAAAACAAAGTACATCAGAAAACGTTTATGTTGTAATTATAACCTCACGGTTACGATATTCTTTCCACCTTAAATGACTAATGAATAACAAGAAGCCATTAAAAATAATTGATTCTCTTTGTTGTAGTGAAAGTCCATGACCATAAAAGAAATTAACCACCAGAAAATATTAAATCATTGTTTGACACGTAAAGACATTTACAAATTGATTGGTTAATTAAACTTCCTTGTTTTTGTTTGAAACTCCTGTTTGAAGAATGAAGTCGTCGTTTAAAGAATATCACTCACCATAAAGTCACGAAGAAATAGATTTCTTTCTTCCAGGAAAATTCTTAATGAAAATTGATTACAAACGAAAATGTACGTATGTATCAATGTACAAGTTTATCCAAATTTGTATACTAATCCGATCATTTTCAGTAACTGATATTAATCTAATAATATTTCCATCAGTAAAAAGGGTCTGAAATATTTTGACATCATACACATTTACTTTTTTTTATATGTTCACTTTTATTCAATACATGAGGAGACAGATTACTGCCGCTTCAAAATTGTGGCTATAAAAACTGTCATACTTCTCTTATTTTTTAACATGAGCCTTCACTATAAACTTTTAATGGTCACACTGGGGTTTGAAACAACCCCGCCAATTCAGCTTCAATTTTACTTACTTTATATACTGAAAATCTGAATAAATACTGTTTTCGAAATCGTTGGTATTTTAAAATAATAGTATTTTACTATAGTCAAATATTTGACAGTAAAATATAGTAAAATTTGGTATTTTATAGTAAAGTATAGTAAAAATGGTATTTTGACTGTTTTTTTTCCTGAAACTGTTATTGTATCTCAAAAGTGTTCAGCTAAAATTTTAGGCCTTTACATTAAAATCAAAGAAAGTTTTGAATTTTTCCGTGAAAACTGTCATTTTTTCAATTTCTTCATATTTTTGAATTTCTTTTTCAACATTTAAATTTACTGAAATCTGCTGTGAAATATGTTAAAACAATTATCGAAAATTATCTATAATTTTTTCAAATTAAAGCAATGAGTAACTTCTTTGTTTTTTAGAAACAGTTTTAGTGGCCAAGGTGTTAATGTCCTGATGTTATCTTGGTGAAGTGTGACCATCAAGGATTAATTATTATTAAAAATCGATGTCATAATTTGTAAACATAGTGTAGTTAAAAGTCTACGTGACAAAACATCAATATACCGATAGAAAATTGAGCCTCCTCTTAAATTAAAATTATTTAACTTAAACTTTAAGATTTTTTTAACACCATATACCAATTTTTTTAAATATGAAAGCGCAAAAAAAAAGAAATTATTTTTTGACCCATTCTAAAATACATATACAATAAAAACAAGAGCTACTTATTTCAAACGATGGAAGTCAGCGTTCTCTAGAAGTCACCGAACATACAAAACACATGTACACAAAACGTACACAATACATATATACAAAACTTTCTGAATGATTTGCATCAATCGTCATGACTTTTGAAATTTTTGCGACTTCTTTTTATAGATGTCTCATAAGCATCACAATTTATTTCCTTAAGCTTGGCTGGAAATGAGTTCGTCTGCAAAAACAAAATGTGATTGAACTCTGAGAAGCCATGACATCTTAAACCTTTCTTCCTTTACAAATAAATATGGGATCGGTTTGTTCGGGGTTCGTCGAGTACGATCGGGCGCGATCGGGTGAGCGGGCGACCTGGACAATTGGCGCCAAAAGAATTTGTACCATAATTTGGCACGGAAAATTAGCGGTAAAATGAAGGATCGTAAGGCAATTGTTTCGTTTTACGCGGGAATCGGTAGAGAACGAGGAAAACGGCGTGGTATCGCGAGGGAGTCTTGTCGTAACCGTTGAAGAAGTAGCAAGTTGTCCGAAAGTTGTCGTTAATTGTTTATACTTGATTTTTATATTCTTGTTAAGTTATTAAAACTATTTTATTGTTATTCCCAAAAAAACTATTAATCCGTCATCCTCGAAAATTCCGATCCTACATAAATATCTAGTAATTGCTCCTTGCAAACAATTTACAAAAACTGGGGAATATTTTGTCTTTTTTCAGAGTATTTATTTTGAAAAAAGTTGAATTCAAACTTTTACATATCACTACATAACGATTCACGAATATTCCGACTCTCTATATACAGTCAGTCAAAAAACTACAGACATTATACAAATCGAAATAAGTTTTTTCAAAGTAAACTAGATAATTCGAATTTTTTGAGATGCTGAAGTCTTCAATAATTACCTAGTGTCGTTTATTATTTATCAGATGTCGTTTTGAAAAAATTACAATTGCTTGAGATACTAAAGAAAAAAAGAAATGCTTTAAGAACTTTGCAAATTAGACAATTTAGTATACTCTAAAAACATAATAGCAAGAATGTTAAAACTTTTTTATCTAACCATATAAATCTGATATAAAAAAATGCAATTTGCAAATTTAAATATAGCTGTAATTTAAGTAACTGGATATTGAAAAATGTAAGAAAATACAGACATTGAAGTGCAGAATTTGTATTTATTACATTTATAAACCGAAAATCGTAAAAGCTGCAATTTTCGCAATTTTGTATTACTTGTATTTGTGTTATAGTGCTAGTGTTATAGTTATGTGTTATAGTATTAATGTAGTAATAATTAGTAGATTTAGTTATATCTAACATGTCACTCAATAAGTCTCCGGTCTAACTAAAAAAAACAAATTTTTTTTTAGAAATTCCACTTTAATCATCAATATATGTTCCTTCCAGTGTGATACATTGATTCCAACGCTCCTCTAACGTTTCAATTCCCTTTATATTAAACGATTTGTCTTTGCCCCCAAAATAAGCTTCAGTTTCCGCAATCACTTCTTTATTTGAGCCAAATTTCTTTCCCTGGAGCATTTTTTTCATATCTGCAAAGAGCCAGTAGTCGCTGGGGTCCAAATCTGGGGAGTACGGTGTGTGGCGAAACAATTCAAAACGTAATTCATTCAATTGAACCATCGTGTTCATCGAC